ATCTAGTCTTCCTTGTCCCCAGGGACAAGTTAGCTGTTTTAGCAGTCGTGGAAGGGCTTTTTTGAGAGCCTCTGTAGCAGGACCCAAGCAGGGAAGGACTGTGGAGTGCCATGTGTCTTACTCTGAGCAGACTGTCCTGTACCCCAGGTGTGCTGCAACGGCACGCGGGTGTTTGTGGAGAGGAAGATACTGGATGCCTTCACAAAGGAGGTGGTGAAACGCACCCAGAAAATCAAAATTGGAGACCCACTTCTGGAAGACACACGGATGGGAGCCCTCATCAACCGGCCTCACCTGGATCGTGTCCAGGGCTTTATCAAGCAGGCAAAGGAGCAGGTGAGATTGTGATGCTGCCTTGTGACTGCCCTGAAATGTCTCTCTCCTGTTAGACAAACAGACTGGCAGCTGCTTTCCTGCTCCATGCCTTCCTAGTTAAGCTGTTTTTTTGTTGTGGTTGAATTACTCAATAGGTGTCTTGTGCCACTAGACTAAAAGTGACCCAGTGCATGTCTGAATCAGCATTGAAGGTGACATGGCTTTTCATATCCTGATGTTGCCAAGTTTTAGAGGTTGTGAGATACTCCGCATGGCAGTGTGTAAAATGGGATAAATCGTAACATTTGGGCTGGCTATAAGTTGTGGTGACACCTTTTGCACTTGGCTGTTACCTCATTTGGGTTCCAGTTTTGCTGGTTGCAGAAGGAGTTTACTAAGGATCGAAGGCCAAATTTATAGGCTGCTGGAAACAATCTCTGTAAGAGCAGTAAGATCCACCCAGGCTTTTCTGTGTTTTCTCCAGGTTTTATTGTAAAGAAGTTTTAAATGTCAGCACTAGGTATATGACTAGGTGTAGCCAATTTGGGGACGGGCTGGAGAAGGGGAACTGTGAAAGCCAGGAGAGCTAGATGGGGATTTGGAGTCAGGAAGGTGGATGTGGAAGGTGATGTGGGGAAGGAGAGAAGAAATCCCCATCTCTAAAGTGGGGCATTTGATGGTGGTAGGTGTTTCTTGCCAGGTGGTATGCCAAGGGACCGACTGACTTCCTAATGAGGGAATTCACACCATGTGAAGATGTGGAAGTTAATGTGATGCCAGCTGCGCATCTGCTCCTAGTTGTAGTTGTTTCCCTCCAACCTATGCTGGATCCTGTGGCACTTGCACCCTAAACCAGCATTGTTTGGACTTTTAGGATGGCTCTCACCCCTGACCCTCCTCTATCTGTCAGCAGTCCTGACCTGGAGAGACACCAGGGAGGGCACAGGCACGGTTTGTCCGATAGGACTGTAAACCCAGCAGGGATTATTGGCCAGCCAGAGCTGTGGCAGCTGGGCAAAATGCTCCTGGATGTGCCTGCCTACCTTCTGCTTGGCTCTTTTTCAGGGGGCAGAGGTGCTGTGTGGTGGGGACCTATACGTGCCAGATGACCCAAAGCTGAAGAATGGCTACTACATGAGACCCTGTGTTTTAGGTATGATCCTTCCTGCAGTTTTCTGTGTGGATGTTGCTGAGTTTCTTCTAGAGAAAGCTGTGTGCGATGTAACCTATCTCTGTGTATGTCCGTAGTGTGGACAGGCACGTGTATGGGTGTACTAGAGAGCGCTAAGGCACCCAAGAACTGCATCCAGAGAAATCTCTGCTGTTTGTAGTGTCTGACAGAACATGTGCAGTTAGTGCCCTTGCTGCCTTGAGATGCAGGATGGGACTTGTTCCTCTGTTGGCCAAGCTGGGGTGGCTGTGCAGTGCTGAGTGCTGTCTTGAACGCTGTGTGGGTTGCTGAATGCACAGACTGTTCTGCTAACTGTTCCTCCTGAAGCACATGTGCTCTGCCATGTTTCCAGGGAACTGCACAGATAACATGACATGTGTGAAGGAAGAGATCTTTGGGCCTGTCATGTCTATTCTGCCGTTTGACACAGAGGAGGAGGTTGTGGAGAGAGCCAACACCACCAAATTTGGCCTGGCAGGTGGTGTCTTCACCAGGTATGACTGGGTAGCGTGGCTGGTGTGGAAGCGGTCTAGGGAGGGGAGGAAAAGGGGGAAAAACTTGATGTTCCTCTTGCAGCGCCTGGCATGGGCATTGATATCCTCTTCCAGAAAAGCTGGAGCAAGGGATTGCCAAAAGAGAACTTTGTGACTGCGCATCTCCAACTAGTTTTTCCTGAGGGGTTAGGTGGGCCCAGCTGTCCTTCAGACTCCTTCCAGCCTGCGCTTGGCCTGCTGCCTGCCTTCCTGCATCTCCAGGAGACATGCACCGGGAGCCTGACACGCTGCTGAAAGCGCACAAAGATGGCTGTTGGCTGCTTGCCATAGTCTGCTTTGCTGATGTCCTTGTCCTGCCCTCTCAAATCAAATGCAGTTTTGAGTGTCCCTGGGAATAGGTGCTACATCCTTTGAGCAGACAGAGAGAGTAGGGCAAGTCAGGCTTCAAAAACCATTGCGACCTGCTGTCCTTTTTCTAGTGGGATGTAAGCTGGCAGGGGAGGAGGGGATGAATGGGAAGGGGTTCAGCTGAATTGCCCTTTTCCTGCAGGGATATCCAGAAGGCTCACAGGGTAGTGGCTGCTCTCCAGGCTGGGATGTGCTTCATTAACAACTACAATATCAGCCCTGTGGAGCTGCCTTTTGGAGGATACAAGTCATCAGGTGAGCTCTGTTTGACCTTCCCTGGTCAAACTATGTGCCAGTTACAGGAGGTACAAGTGGTACCTGGCACTGCCTGGAGCTGGGTTCTCACTTCTGGCTTGTCCCTGCAGGATTTGGCAGAGAGAATGGGCGGGCAGCCATCGAGTACTACTCGCAGCTGAAGACTGTCTGTGTGGAGATGGGTGATGTGGAATCTGTGTTTTAGTGGCTCTGGGGCCTGCTCAAGGGAGCATCAGCCAGTCCTTGCCTGTCAGCCAGAGATGTGGATCATTTACACAGCAATAAAGTGCTCTAAAATTGTAAGTGCCTGGGGGGGAGCAGAGCAGGAGCAGCATTTAGCCACCCTGCCCCTGCAAGGGGGAATGTACACACAGGGCTCAGCCTGTGGGCCTGCTCTGTCTTATCTGGTGGAAGGTGGGAACCTCAGAGTAGGAGGTAGCAATATGGCTTTCAGCAGCAGCACATGCAGCTACGTAGGTGTTACCAGAGGCTTTTCATGGCAGGGGCCCAGCCCAAGCTGCTTCTGCTGCTGCATGCCTTGAACCTCATTACTTTCCACCCTCAGTCAACTTCAGTTTTGGCTTCTTAACAGGTATGACTCCACTCAGTGTGCATATAAGCTCTTGGACACACTGATAGCCTGTAGGTGCTCTCTATTCACTGACTACATAAAAGGGTAGGATTGGGGGGGGGGGGGTCTAGCCTTCTTGAAAAGACAAGTTTTGTTCTTTCTATCTGTACCTTGGTTCCAAGGTGGGACAAAATATTGTGGGGAGGGTGAGCTGATGCTGCCTGGGACAGGCATGGCCCTGAGAATCATCTCTGCACACAGAGTATAGAACACAACTGGAGTGGTAGGAAGCTCCAGCATAGGATTGAGTGCTGCCTATCTTAAATGAAAGCTATTTGACTTCCTTCATAGAATCACAGAATCGTTTAGGTTGGAAAAGACCTTTGAGATCATCAAGTCCAACCATTAACCTAACCCTGCCATCCCACCACTAAACCATGTCCCTCCCTATAGGCCTACTGTTCTTTATAAACATGATGAAGCAACAACTTTAAGTGTTTGCCTGCATTTTTTTTTTTTTTAGTGATCAAATAAATACTAATTCTGTTCAGAACATCTTATTGGAAAGTGATGTGAATTGAGGGGTGCAGAAATGTAGGCTGATAGAGAGCAGAGCTGTTGCCGCATGGGTTAAACAAACGGATGCAAGATGGCTTTTTTTGTCACCAAAACCATAAAAGCTAGAACATGGCTGCCTGACAGGCAGATTTCTGTAGCTCTACAAAACCAGAGTTATTCTAGTGTTCTGCAAAACTTAAGAAAGCTCTCTATAGTAATTTTAGAGTGAAAATACAGAATTGACAACTTCATTTTATTGAACTGAGGAAAAAAAACCAACACAGAAATCAAATGTTCCAAAAGAAAACAAAACAAAAATCCCTTTAGTTTCCCAAGCAGCCATCGCAAGGGTCAGTTAGTCCTGGCAGATCCAGCCAAGATGCTGGCAAGCTGAATACACGCCCGTGCCCACCAGCCCAATGAGTGCAGCTGAACCAATGGCCCCTCTCCTTCGGTTTTTTGGATCTGGGAAGAGAGACGTGTTATGTCAGTTCAGCAGCGCATCACAGAAAGACTAGCCCATCCTGAAAATGAGAGGGAGCGGGAACTGGAGATAAATCTCAAGGCAAAAGAGCGGACACCAGCTTGGGCTGCATACCTGCCCTCGGTCTG